TCTCTTGATCTTTATTTCCTCTCATGCAATGCCACTCTCTCTCTCTCTCTCTCTCTCTCTCTCTCTCTCTCCGTAATGCGTTCTGTGCTTCCTTTTATCGCTCTCCCAGCAGCAAAAACAACCCACACTCCACACTCGGCTGATTCCCGAGCTGCTGCTCCGATTCGGGCATTTTTGTGAGTCGCTATCTCTCTCTTTTGAATCGTATGTGCGTCTGTGGGCTTTCGCCACGCTCTTGCAATTCCTTCTATCCCTCACCTATTGCTCTCTCAGCAGCAACAACTAGAACAATGCGCCATCGTCGGCTGAGACAGCACGCATTATGGAAACTGTTTTTGTTGCTTTCGTCTGCCGCCTTCGGACTTTGACGAAAACTGTTTTTGTGATGCGAAGGTGCCCGCAGTTCGGGCTATGCCTGGAAGTCTAGCAAATAGCTAACGGGACCTGTTCTTTTGCTGCGTAAATTCTTCTGTTTTTCGCATTCCCTATGCCCCGTCTTAGAGCATTTAATAGTCGCCCAATGACCAGTTGTGTTTCCTTTATCGCTTTGCTGTTTTCATTTTCTGTATTCTCTGGCTCTCATTTTCGTTATAAATTCTAGGCATAGGACCATATCGTTTTCATTTTGATTTTGATTTAATTTACGGTTCTCGGGCCACGGACAGAGCACCCCTCCCCCTCGCACAGCCCCTACCCCTTTCCGTTCGGACTTGAGAGCAGACACTTTGAATAATGTTTGTCTATTTATAAATATGAATTATTTCCCAGCAGATTAGAGAAACAGAGAGACAGAGACAGAGACAGAGAAACCGAAGCAACGCTCTGGGCTCCATTGTGTGGTGCATTTTTAATTGCTAATTAATTTCCCCGACACACGAAAAACCATAATCGAGCGAGAGATAAGTGCGATTTGAGCTTTTCAATTAACCAGAGCCAGAGCCAGAGCCCCCCACCACCCCCCTCACACACGTATCCCTCTGTGGCGCAGACACCTGGTTTAAGTTTGTTTATTGCACTGATATTTCACATTATAAATTTAATTTAATTATACGTGAAATGGTCTGCGGACCGGGGACCGGGGACCGGGGTCCAGGGACTGCATGCGTGGGTGGGTGCATGGCTGGCTGTCTGTTTGTGCAACTGCAACAACAGCAAAAGCGACACAGTGCTGCTCAGACTCGCATTAAACAGCAATTAAGCTTAATTATAGTTGTCGCCGTTTTTAGCCAGGCTTGTCTCTGGTGTCTCTTGTGTCTCTTGCGTCTCTTGCGTCTCTGGTGTGTGTGTTGTGTGTCTTGTCTTGTGTCTCATATTGTTGTATGCAAAGCAGGCGCACGTCTGGCCAAAAAAAAAAAAAAAGACCCCAGACCCATAGACCATAGACCAGGCCCAGACTCTTCGGGCCAGTTAGCATCTGTTAGCGTGGGGGGGGGGGGCGGTACGGCACTGCTGCTACGGCGGTTCCTGTTTCTCTTGCTTTTCCGTTTTCGATTTCGGTTGCTGGCCAAAAGCTGTACTGTGCTCAGTCCTGCCCCTAATCCGAGCCAAGCCAAGCCAAGCCAGTGTCTGCCTGTCTGTCAGTCAGTCAGTCATTCGTTCATTCAGTCAAGAGACACGACTGCGACTGCGACAGCGATAGCGACAGCGACTAGGCGACTGCGCGACTGCGCGACACGAGCACGAGTGATGGTCGTCTGCATTTGTTCGTCTCCTCCAGGCTTCCTTCCACTAATGGTGGCTTTTAGGTTTTGGGTTTTTGGTTTTTGATTTTTGGTTTTTGGCCTGGCTTAAAATGGATGAGCCTGCTAAGGAGTCGCCTTAGTAGCCTTAGTCGTTGGCCAAGCAAGCGGCGTGTGGGCTCGTTCGGGCCGTTTTTTGAGCTGTTTGTGTGGTTGTTGTTGTTGTTGTTGTTGTTGTTGTTGTTGTTGTAGGTGTGTTGCAGGCTGGCAGCTGGACTCTTGTCTGAATGAAAGTAAAAGGTGTTGCAAGCGTGCAAGATGTTGCCGTTGGGGTGGCGCAGGAGGCGGAGGCGGAGGCGCGGGCGGCAGGGTGCAGCCAAATTGATGTTAGTGGTAGAGGAAGAAGGAAATCACAGTCGTTGCCAGCACAGCAAACGGGATCTTTTATGGCATTTTAATGGGTTTGTGTACAGTCACCACGTGCTTTCGGTTAGGGATGAACTTTGGGCAGCTCTCAATTATCAGGGGGGAGCACTTGGCCATCGATCGAAGGAGTTTCGTACAGTCGGAGACCACTGGGAAACTGTACAAGATAGCCACCAATAATCGATGGAAATCCTCGATGTTTCGATTACAAATAATCGAAAAATATGGAAAACTATCGATTTCCGATAGTTCTTTGTATGGACTCCATATAAGACTTTCTTAATGAAAGTAAGGAATGCCTTTTATGGAGCCTCCAACAATCGCCATTGGCGGATAAAATGCCAGTACTGGGTGTAGCCGTTCTGTTAATTATTGAATAACCGAAAACATCTCAGTCATTCGCATTCGTATTCGCATTCATTTCCATTCAATTCATTTGCTAGTTTGCTATTCTGCCATTCCTTCGTAATTAATCACAGATTTGAGATTTCGAATGCCAGTCGTTCGTTCACTTAATTAGCGTTCAAATTAAAACATATTCTCTGTGGTGCATATCATTACGGGGCACACATTAGCCGTCGCCTGGCATAATGAGTGCACTCTTGCCCCCCCACCACCCCCACCCCCCCTACTCCCCTGTGGCAACAAAAGCGCACAAATTAATTGAAATCATATGAGGTTTATCACCGATCTGCGATCCGCGATCTGCGACTGAAATCGAATCAATTTTATATGAAGTCTGCCTGCCCCCTCCGCCGGTTCCCCCGGGTCCTCCTCCTCCTCGATTGTTCGTCATTCAAGTGGGTGCTGTAGACAAAAACCTTTGTGGCATGTACTCGTGCCTCGTATCTCGTACTCGTATGCATAATATCAATTTGTGGGGTCCTCAGACATACCGACACGTACGAGTACGAGCTCTTTGTGTGTGTGTGTGTGTGTGTGAGTGTGTGCGTGCGTTTATATTAAGTTTATCTAGCAATCTTAAGCCAATTTAATAAGCGGGTTGCCCCGTTGTGGCCGCAAAGTTGAGCTGTCAGTCGTAATATGATTAATCAGCGCACCATACCGCACCGCACCGCCCCGCACCGCACCGCACCGCTCACCGACGGACGCACCACAATTGAAGATACTCGTACGAGAGGAATTGTACGGTACAATGAACGCGGGGCCCCCAAAGTGAGCGATGGAATGGCACAAAGATTGAATGGATGGATGTGGGGATATGTGGATATGTGGATATGTGGATGAATGGGGGCATGCCAATGTCTCAACGCCCACATGCGTGGGTATACACAGAGGGGTCTGCTTCCAGAGTGTATCAGCGAATGGAATGGGTAACGCGTTGATGGGTAAGAAAGAAAGCTGGAAGCAAAGCCTTGAACTCGGCCAAAGATTCAAGAAGATACCAGTAATCGAAGCAAGAGTTGTCCAACACTGCCTCCTTTTAGTGTTGAGCAGAGCAGCTGAGATGGAAGAACGTAGCATCGGTCCACAAATTAGCTGTCATAAATTTGTGACAAATCTAACGATTTTCCCCCGTGGGGTTTCCCCCCAAAACCCCCCAATAATTTGATGGTGCCCCACGTTCTCGTAAAACACAAAATGATTAACCTTTTTTCGAGCCCAGACGCATTTTTATCGCCTCCAATCAAAACACAATGACGCGCTCGAAATTCGAAATGCAATGCGAACAATCGAAATTATTATTGTTTTTTTTTTTTTTTTTTTGTTAACAATTTTCAAGCAGCAGCGCGGGGCAGGGGCAGGGGCAGGGGCACCGCATTTGCTTGACATGTTTGATTCGTGTACAAAATATCTTGATAATGATCGCGGGGCAATGACAACGAAACGCAATTCAGTTTCAAGTTCCACAAGACAGAGAGAGAGAGAGAGAGAGAGAGAGAGAGAGAGAGAGAGAGAGAGAGAGAGAGAGAGAGAGAGAGAGAGAGAGACATTCCACCTGGTGTCGGGTCTGCGGTGCGATGCGGTCACACTTATCGGCTTTGGATTCCCGTGATCCAAATGAAATAATTGTCTACTTGGTGGCTTACCCAGGGGGGGATTTTGTGAAGAGAAAACAGTGGAGGCAACTCCTTGGAGACTAGAAAAGAAGCGGGAGACTTCAGGAAGTTTTTCTATCATGAAATGGAAGATGAACACACTTTTAGGAGCCTGGTAGCAGCTCCGCAAGAACATTCAATTTTCAAGAACTCCAAATATTTGTGGATTTCGTCATTTCCAAGGGTTTTCTGTAATTTTTGCGCTTTAATGGGTTCGATTTTAACGTTCAAATATCGTTTTTAGGTTTATTAATTCATGGAGTGGCATCAGTTCTTCATGAAATCGAGGCCTTGGAATTTGCCTTATCCTGAGACCCAATGGAGCTGAAATCTCTGGTAAGTAATGCTACCCAAAGCTAAAAGAATATTTTGTGACTGAGAGAAAAGATTTTGGGTTTTTTGGTTTTCAAAAATGTTTATTGGATTGTTTTGTGCCAGCACTTTTTGGTGGTTTGAAACAGTATACAGCGACGCACACACATACTTATAATCTACACATATACATGGATACATGCGTGGAAATACATATAGATCTATGGCTAAAAAAAAAAAAAAAAACACTAGTCGTACACGGAATACAGTTACAGTTACAGTTACAGTTACAGTTACAGTTACAGATACAGATACAGTTGGATAATTATACGTTAGATATAGTACATACAATAAATGTAGCATTTAGCGGACTATCAACTATGTGTGTGTTTTTTTGTTGTTTGTTTGTTTGTCTATGATCTAATCCTACGATGACGGAATCTATTTAGTTCTTATGCGAGAGAAAACCTTTATACAAGTGCGGGTAGTGCGGGTAGGGGTGGTGGTGGGGGTGGTGGGGGTTGGTAGGGGGATTAGCGATGCTTAAGAGTAGGTTTTTGTTGTTGTTTGTTGTTTGTTGAATGTTGAAGCAGGATGGTAACAGTAATTTCACTAGTACTTAAGCTAGTTATAGATTTTTGAGTTAGTTTGAGTTCTTGCCAGCGATTCCTAGATGCCTGGATGCCTGGATGCCTAGATGCCTAGAGTGTAGTACCATGTAGTAGTTAACCTTTCAACTAAACCGAATTCATGTCATATCTAAACTAAAGTCCTTTGGATTGTGGTATAGTTGATTTTGTTGTTGTTGTTGTTGTTGCTGTTGCTGTTGCTGTTGTTGCTGCTGTTGTTGCTGCTGTGTTTGTTGCTCTGCTGCTGGTCCACCGCCGCCTCCCGGGGGGACCTTCTTCCGCTCTCATTTGTTCTTGGGCTGATGCCGCTTCATGTGCAACGCCAAATGATCGCTACGCGCAAAACTCCGCTCGCAGACGATGCACTTGAAGGGCTTGGCGCCCGTGTGCTTGCGGTAGTGCCGCGTCAGCTCATCGGAACGGGCGAACCGCCACTCGCACTCGGGCCACTGGCAGGTGTAGGGCTTTTCACCTGTAAAACCAAGACAAAAACAAAGATGTTTGTGGATGAGTATCGAGTATCGGGCATTTGTGAGCTGTAGAAAACGGAAACTTCTAACGACTAAACCTCGTTTGGACACCCTCCAGAGGCCTTTTGAGTGCACTTTCCACGAGACAAAAATTGGGTTGGGACTGCGACTACTGGGATCTTTCCATTAATTAATTTCCATTTCCCAAAACCGCGTTTTTGTGGCTTGCGCAGTTTTATAATTTTTACTCGGCATTTGCAGAGCAGATATCCAGCAAAATATTGATGGATTAAGGCAAAAATTGTACGACTCTTTACAGGATTTTTGATTCGTGTTGATAGAGCGGATGTACTTGAAGATACAGCGATCCAAAGTTAAGGTTTTCTAACAATTTTAATGTTTCAACAATTTTTTGTTTTTAATTATTAAATAAAATATACAAAAAACCAACTATTTTTATAATTGTTGTTTTATTGTATTTGGTGCTATTTTTAGACGTTGGTTATAGGGGCGATAGTTCTCAGCAATTCCCCAAAATGGTTGCTTGTTGATCTCTGACATATTTTTTTGGTGTCTTTTCTGCAGAAACTATAGAGTCTGCCTAAGGCTTATAATCTTATAATGTATATGTGAAAATATAGCAATCAAAAAGCCCCCAGAAAGACTTTTTTCTAAGGCTGTTTCTTTCCATAAACTTTCGCCCCGAAAATTCCACACTAATTTTGACAGCTTTCTGGAGACCATCTCGGAATCTCTGAGAGCATAAGAAATACTCGTAAACCTTATCATTGGTGGCGGACAAACGCACAAATTTTGTTTAGTTTTGGTTTTGGTTTCGGTTTCGGTTTCGGCTTCGAGTGTTGCATGAGCTTCGATCTCGAGTGTCGAGTGGCCACTCGTCTGACACTTTTCGATTTTTGGGTGGGGGGGAGGGGGATGGCGGCGTGACTTATTGGTTTATTCAGATCTCATTTTAATGAACTTGAGTGTTCATCGATTCGCAGACCTAACTGGAGACACGTGTGCTCTATGCTGTGTGCTTCGTAGGGGGCTTCGAAAATGTGACTCATAGAATCGAATCGAATCGAATCTCTATGGAGAGGAAAGACCTCCCCGAAACACACGGCAACAACAGCAACAGGCTGTCCGTGGGAATATAATTTGGCAATGATCAGAAAAAAAAGGCCAACAAACAAACAGACAAAAGTTATGTAAATGTTGTTTTGTAATGTGCGATGAACGCAATGCGATAAGCGGATCGGAGTGGAGCAGAGCAGAGCAGAGCGGAGTGGAGCAGAGCAGAGCGGAGTGGAGTGGAGCAGAGAGAATTACTTCATAATTTTACTTGTGGGGCCGCCACCGATAAGGCCGCCCGGCAATACAAATAAATTTCGAGCTAAACCAAAAAAGGCGCTGAATGGGGAGGCTGTGGCTGTGGCTGAAGCAGGGACTGGGACTGGGACTGAGGCTGAGGCTGGAGCCCGCGACTATAGCCTCTGGCTAATCGTCGATTCGAGTCCGGTGGGTCCATGGGTCCACAGCCTAGACCTCCTCCAGTCGCCGGTCGCCGGTCGCCGGTCGCCGGTCGCTGGGCATAAAAATTCAAACTAATTTATGGCAGCGCGAACATATTAGCAAACAAATCAGTACAAAATAAGCCACAGTCGGAGGAGCCGCAAGAGGCCTAGGGACGGACCGGGAATGGAGACTGGGGATCGGGAATCGGGAATCGGGAATCGGGAGACCGCTGACTGGTAGATACGAGAAATTTATGCGTTCGCTTGTGGCATAAAGATTAGTTACCAAATGATTTTCTAATCGACGCAGGCAGATAAAAACAAAAAGCCCAAATAAAACGGAGAAATTTACGAGCCAAGTGGCGGATGAGGCCGTGGATGGCCAAGAGGCTGTGGATGGGTATTGGTATCTGATCTGATCTGTGGACTCGATTTTCCCTTTCGTATGTCTTCCCTTTCCATTAGAAACGCATTAGAGACAACAAACAAAGGCCACAAACGTGGCTAACAAACATCTCAAGCGACAGACAGGCAGATCTCTCGATGACTCGGGCAAATATTGAAGCAAAATTTCCATCGGGCATCCATCTGCAGGTCTCCTCCTGCTGCAGCGTTGCGTTGCTAATCAGCAAAGACAACAACACTCGACTGGCGTCTGTGGCGCCTCAAGTTGTGCCGCAAATTGCATGAGGAATGCCTGTCTGTCTGTCCGTCTGTCCGTGTGTGTGTGTGTGTCCGTGTGTGTGGAGTACGGGTGGGGTTTTCTTCGAGTGCTGTGGTGTGGCACGGACGTTAACTAACTCAAAAGCCAAACAAACGGACAGCCATCAGACGGTAGCCAAAAACACTTGAGAAACTGAGTGAGAGGGAGAGAGAGAGACAAGGAGACAGGGGGCCAGGGGGCCAGTGGGGCTCGAAGGATCGTGTTGGCCAAAGGCTGGGTATAAAAAGTGTTTGCCCCAAATTAGAAGGAGAGAAAGAGCCGAGATCGGGAGGCCCCAAAGTCCGCCTGCATTCAGCATTGATCTCTACGAGATTCCACATTCGAGAGTCAAGGTTTTGGCTTCTCTTTGACCTTTTCTCCAGCAGCGGCAGCAGTAAATACTTGGGGCTATTCCGCTTCCCCCTTTTGATGGGGCGTTAACGTTTATCGCTTAAGTGAAAATCAGCGCAGAATATCATACGAATGCGAATGCGAATACGAATACGAATGCGAATACGAATACGAATACTCGTAATAATAAAAATGTTTTTAAGGGGCAGACGTTTTAAGTTGTGGCATAAATCAGGTGGTCATGTGCGATTAATAAAACTCCCCACCCCACCCCACCCCACCCCCTGCCACGCCAAAAAAAAAAAAAAAAAAGGAATGGGGAAGAGCCACTGGAGGATCCGCTGCCTTGTTGTTTTTTTGCCTGTTGTCTGTTGTGTGGGGCATAAAACGTGTGGCCCATAAAACGAAGGCAAAGGCAGTGGCAGTGGCAGAGGCAGTGGCAGAGGCAGTGGCAGAGGCAGTGGCAGAGGCAGGTGGTGATCAACATCGTCAGGCATCCAGGCATCGGGCCTGGGGAGAGAGCATCAGGCAGTTGCAGCAGATCCGAATGGAACGTCAAGTGTAATCTGAGCAAGAAGAAGGAGCCGCCGAAATGCAGGCCAAACGTGCGCCCAGCTGATGGCGTTGGCGATTGCTGCTGCTGCTGCCGCTGGATGTTGCAACAACCACTGACCACAAGAAAAACAAAGCCAGAGCCACACGAAAGAAAAAAAAAAAACCAAACCATAGAAATCACGATTTTTGCTCTGCGGTTGAAAATTGAAAAACAAAAAAAACGAAGAAAAAAAAAAGAAACTGAACAGCAGACAAATCCGCTCGAAGGCGATCTTTGGGCCAAATTATTTGCCTGGCAGAAACAACAAATATGAGATTGCGAATTAATCAAAAGGCTGCCCACTCTGCCACTGCCAGTGCCACTGCAGCTGCAGCCCACATGCCCCACATGCCCCACAGACCTGCAGACCTGCAGATCTGCAGAAATCTGTGACCCGAGTGAGTGGAAGGCGGACTTACCCGTGTGTATCCTCTGATGGGCCTTCAAATGCGAGCTTTTTGTGTAAACCTTGGAGCAACCTGAAAGATACGAAAGGAAAATGGATTAGGAAATGGCGAAAAACCAAAATATATGTGGCCCCATCTCGATAGAGAAGTGGGTCACTGGGCGTTGGCTCTGTGGATTTTGTTCCTTTAATTAGGAAGTTCATTTAAGAGAAAGTCACCGCCAGCGAGGAGACGCCACTCGGATCGCTGGGAGCAAGTGACATTTATGAGGCACTTACAAGGATGCCATGCCCCCTCCTCGCACACGTACGGTCTAATTGAAAGCTGCAGCATGTACGTGCCGCGCAAAACAATGCCCCCGAAACCGAATCAGCGGCAGTCAAGAATGTTGCACCGAGAGACAGCAGCAGGCAGCAGGCAGCAGGCAACATGCAACCAGCATCGACAATCGTCGACAGTTGAACGCGTGATTGGTCGCATAGATACGAACCGAACCGAACCGAATCGATACGGAGGACTGCACTGCACTGCACTGCGACTGCACCTTCGATCTCCTCCAGACATAACTCACTTGTTGCCACAGTCGGCAGTTGCATGCAGCAGAGCCAACCGTTCACCCATCGACTGATGCGTGCGTTTATGGCATAATAACTTCATTTGGACAGCATTTTTGTTTGCCATTCAGTCAGTCAGTCAGTCAGTCATTCAGTCATTCAGTCATTCAGTCATTCAATCGCGAGTCCCATTCCAAGTCTAATATTTGTGGTCTTACGCGCATTCTGTACTGTACTCCCCGTACTCCCTGTACTCTGTGTACTCCGTGTACTGCCTGTAGTTGCTGTTAGTTGTCTAAAAATGGCCATGGCAAACGTGTCAGACAATTGTCAATTATTTATTAGTGGCAACGCACGTACAGGCCCCAAGCCCCAAGACCCCAGCCCCATCGATCCATCGATCCCAGACAGACACAAAACTCCGTCTGGGACTCCGCTTTGGAGTCGCTATTTTGTGGCTAAATCTGTGGCCAGACAATCATTGCCTCTAGCTTTGGGCTCTTAAGTGCTTTTTTGGCCATCCATCGATGGCTAATGGATGGAGATACGCGTCGGCTACTCGTCGGTGGAGGGTACCTCATATAGCGTGGAATTGAATGGCGGGGGAGATGATGTGATATCTCCCATCTTTAGTTGAGTTCTCTTTAAAGAGCTTTTGATGGATTGTTGTTTTGGTATTTTGGAGAAGATCTTCCGTTTTGGACTTGGAAGATCCAAGATCGAAGGCGGAAGGAAACAGAGAGGGGTTTCTGTAGACTGCAGAAGGTTACCCTTCTCTGAACTTCTAGCCAGAGGTCTACAGCTCTAACAGAGCATAGATAAGATATTTCTTTGGTGGCTTATTGGGAGGATCTCTTCGAAGACAAGTTTTCTGAAAAATTTTCCATACTTTTCCAAATAAATACTCCCTCCGCAGTGGCCCCTCTTCTGTACTCGGCTGTGAGGAGCTCCATATCGTGGTGATTCTTCAGAGATTCTTCGTAGATCGTTGGAGGATCCCAAACTTTGAGGGGATTGTTCAATTGTTCTGCTAGAATCGAAGGCTAGTGATCGAAGGCGATCCTCGAACGGTTTCTTCAAAATAAGAAGCCTTCTAGTGGGTAAGCGATCCTCTTGTTGGGTGATCCTTGAAGGCTTTGCTGTTTTCTCGATGGTTCTTTACCCAGGAAATACTCTTTACAGGAAACATAAGAAGACAGATCAATAGAGAGATCGTTCTTTTACTCATTGATTTGTGGACCTCTCCTCCATGATCCCATTCAGCCGTGAGTCAACCTATTTACGGATCTGTGTATCTATGACATTGAAAACGCTCTGTGCAACGATCGGTTGCAATGTGTAACGAAAGCCACAGCTCACTGTGGATGTGGAGGTGGAGGTGGAGGAGTAGGAAACGTCGTCTTACATAAATATGGCAATTGGCTAATTAGAATTACAAAGAAGGCAATAGAAAAAGCGCCACAACAGCCACAACAACGGCAGCAGCAACGAGCTCTGTGGCAGGGGGCAGGGAGGGGGGGGGGGGGGGGGTCACTGTCACACAGTGAGCGACAGAAAGATGCGGACGATGGCAGAAAGATAATAAATAAATGTATAGATAAATGGAGAGAATAAATAAATGCCGATTGGAAATACGCGTCACGCATGCGCAATGGGGAACGCACGTGGAGCGGGCTCTAGAGCTAGAGATTCCTCTGGATGGGGCAGGGGAATGGGCCAGGGACTGGGGGCAGGGGAGTCTTCTCTGTTACGAAAAGTGTCGCAAAGCGCGCGAAATGATAAACGAGAGGAGCGACATGCAGCGAATGCCTAAAGATCTACAGATCTACAGATCAGCAGTCGCGTCGAGTCGAGTCGAGGAGGAAGCGCAGTGGCATCTTCTGGCACTGGCACTGGCACTGGTACTCACCCACGAAATCACAGTGATGGATGCGACGCTTCTCCAGCTCCGGATTGTTCCGGCGATTGTAGCGCACTGTCCGGACGCTCATGAGGCTGGCAATGTGCGCCGCCGTGCCGGGCTGATGGTGCGCATGCCGGCCCCTCCTGCCGCCGGAGGAGCCACCCGATCGCGGCGGTGGGACCGCAGGTGCCACGGGGGAGGGCTGCTGCTGGGGCAGCTGCAGTTGCGCGGACGCTGAGGCGGAGGCTGTGAGGGTGGTGAGCGTTATCGAGGAGCCACCGCCTACTCCCAGCAGCTGCAGCTGCGGCGGCTGTGGGAGTCCCAGGAGCCCGTGACCTTGCTGGTAGGGCGGTGGCGGGGTGGTGCGTCTCTGAGCGGCAGCGGCGGCCGCTGAGGGGCTGCCCGGATCGGAGCTGGGCGGCGTCAGGGGTGGCACGAACATGTGGCGCGTCGACGACGAGGCCGATGACGAGGAGGCTGAGGAGGATGTGGCAGAGGGAGTGCTGGGTGCCGCCGGGGGGCACAGTTGTTGCAATTGAGCAACGCCATGTTGAGCTGTGGGCGTGGCAGTGGCGGACGCAGCACTGGCTGCTGCTGCGGATGGCGGGTGTATTTGGTATTTGGTGTGAAATGTCTGCAACGAAACCGAGAAGGGAAGGGAAGGGAAGGGAAGAGAAGAGACGGGAGAGATTGAAGGCTGGTTAGGGGGCAACGTTGGACAAGACTCTTACCTGACTGCTGTGCCAGCTATAGCCGTAGCTGCTGCTGCTGCTGCTGCTGCCGATGGCCGTTGCACTCGTGTTGCCACCGATGCTGCTGCTGCTGTTGCTACCGTTGAGATAGCCGCCGCCCGATGCGGCATTCAATTGAGATGCGTATTGCTGCTGATAGGAGGAGGTGCTGCTGTTGTCGCCGGGGGTCGCCGTCGCCTGCAGCAGCTGCTTGGGGCTGTTGCTGCCACTGTGCTGCTGCTGCTGCTGTTGCTGTTGCTGCTGCACTAGCTGTTGTTGCAACTGCAACTCCACCACCGTCTCGACAGCGGGTGGCAGCACCGACGACAGGCTGGGATGATGCTGGTACAAGTGCTGCTGCTGCTGCTGTTGCTGTTGCTGTTGCTGCTGCTGCTGTTGTTGATAATGTTGCTGATAGTGTTGCTGATGTTGCTGCTGGTATTGCTGCTGCTGCTGTTGTTGCTGCTGCTGCTGCTGCTGTTGTCGCTGCTGCTTCTCTGTCTTGATCTCCAGGGGACTGAGCAGTGGCGTTGAGAAAGTCTCAAGCAGGCTCTCATCCAGTGCCTCCATTTTGACCTGTGGCTGCTGCTGCTGCTGCTGCTGCTGTTGCACCGATGCTGCATTGTCCCCATTGCTGGTGCTGCTTGTTGTTGTGTTGTTGCTGCTACTGTTGTTGCCACTGTTGCCGCCACCATTCGCTGTGGCACTCAGCATGAGCGCATTCTCTGGATCGATATTTTGGATTGAGGTAGTAATATCGTCCCAGAGCACTGGCCTCTGATACGGATCGTCCAATGGATCCGCAAAGAGCGTAGCCGTCTCTTTGTTTTTGGTTTCTGTTTCAAAAGAAGAGGAGGAGAAGCACAGAGGAAATCGCTTTATAATCGATCGATGCTAACACATTATGCAAATCATTCGGGCGTGGATCGGGAGGCGGGTGGCGGTTGCTGGGGGGATCTATGAGAAATCTCGCATATGCATGAAATTTTCTAACCAGCTGCTGATTTGTTTGACTATTTATAGAGCTTGCTGTGCTGCCCGAAGAAGGGGAGGCTCAAGCCTCAAGCCGAGTCTTACGAGGCCCATGGATGCGCTATAGACGTATCTTTCGGATACACCAAAGATCTACAAGAGATGGCAGCTCATTCGCACTTCGCTGAGGCTGGAACATGTCTGAATTTTTGTGGGTCTTGGCTCTTGGTCTCCGATTTCACATTTTCGATATTGACTTGCGAGATTTCTCCATGCGTGTAATTTTCGGGGTGCCTCCCCTCTTCGCTCCTCCCTCTTCCCACTCCGTTCTCTATTCTCTAGGGGGGAACTTACCATACAAATACTCCTTCTCCCCGCCAGTGCTGCTGCTGCCGCCCGTTGCCCGTCCCCCGCCATAGCCCAGGGCCACCTCGTAGGTCGCACCATCGTAGAGGGGCGTGCAGGCATAGGCGGAGTTCGAATTGGAGTTGGGGGAGCCAGCGGCATGCTGCTGCTGCTGGGGATCCGTTGTGCCATAGCCCACCGATGACAGCTGCCACGCGTCTGTGGCCCCAGCACCGCCGCTCTCGCCGCTCTGCAGGCTGTGCGACTGCTGCTGCTGCTGCTGGTGCAAGTGGTGCGCGTGGTGGTGCTGGTGCTGATGGTGGTGCTGGTGCTGGTGCGAATGATGGTGATGCAGGTGATGATGGTGGAACTGATGCTGCTGCTGCTGCTGCTGGGTCTGCTGCTGCTGCTGCTGCTGCTGGTGGGACGTTGCAAGGCTGGGGGTCTGGCTGCCATTGCTGTTGTGGCTGTTGTTGGTGGCGGCCAGAACCTCCAGATCGACGTCGGCGGGCTCTATCTTGTGGAGACGTCCCATCAGCTCGTGCCGATAGTCCAGTTCCGGGGACTGCCACAAAAAAGAGAGAGAAAGAGAGAGAGAGAGAGAGAGAAGGGAAGAGCGTAAAGTGTTAGTAAATCGTGTGGTATATGGCCCATCTGGTAATCAGAGGAACGGCTCTCCGCCTCCTCCCTGGCCATAAATTTTGATTAAACTTTTATCGCCCTGCCTTGCCACACTCTCGGCTCCAGGGGCTCCCCTCCCTCCTGCTCCTGCTCCTGCTTGTGCCCTCCCCCTTGCTTCTGCTGCGGCTTCTACTTTATCTTTATGTTCCGTCTTTGAGCATTTCTTTTCTCTCGCTTTTCTTTCTTTATTTTTATTTGTTGGAGTTTTATTTTTATTCTGATTTTGATTTTGATTTGGATTTGAAGTTTTATTTTTATGGCCAGCAGAGACACAGCACAGCAGTCGCAGTCGCAGTCGTGCTGTGTCTGCTGCGTTTCGTTGCAAGTTCGTTGCCTAAGTCTTTCGGTATTGAGGCAAACAAATTGGTTTTGTTTAGTGGCTTTTGCGAGCCCTGGCATTTGTCCAGGCCCGAATGTTGCCAATCTGTGAGATGATTTATCCAAAAGCAGAAAAAGAAGGTATTTATAGATCTATTTATAGATAGAAACCTTTGTCTCCACCTTTCCTTTGTTTTGGGGGGCCGGAGAAGAGGCCACGTTGTCGCCGCCGCTAATTTATGGCAACACTTAACGTTGTTTAGGCAAACATAATAATCATTTGGCAAATTAGCCAAGTTTTTGCTTGTTTTTATACTCCCCACAGAACCGCAATGAACGCTTTTCACATGCAAATGATGTGTGTGGCAGCAGACCCAAGGGACAGTATATCATCAAAAGTGTCGATCCGATCGAAAGGCCAGCCAAAAAATAGCCAAAAAAAAACCACACACACACACACACACACACACACACACACACAAATCTGACTCAATTCGAGAAATGCTCGACACTGACTCATGATGCCCCCCGTGCCACACATCAGCAGCAACCCCGAACCGAATAGCAATGTTGCCTCGTTTTCTCTGCTGTTTTTTTTTGTTGTGTTTTATGAGCTGAAAATTTACGAGCATGGCAAATTATTTTAGCTGCAATATTTTTGCCGTGCGGTGCGGTGTGCCGCAGCATTTTTTCCATTTTATTGACTGCGGGAATACCTTTTTGGATACCCCGTGACTCTAGGAGTATATTGGAGGGATCACCCCTCAAAACTTCAATTTCTCTGCGAATTCTATCCATAATTTCTTCAAACAAATGTAGAATCATTGATAAGTATCTGAATCAAATCGGTTGATTATTGCAGCCAGTCGTTTGGCTGTTTGAACACCTGGCTTCCTCGAACACTATTCAACACAGAGCAATGAGCTGTTGCCTGGCTACAGGGGGCACATGGGTCTTGGGTATCTTGCGGGTCGAGTCACTTGGGCCTTTTCCGACTGGTTGTGGTTGTGTTTTTAGGGGCTTTCTGTGGCGGCGGCCCCACTCTTTTTGGTGAATAATGTTTGCTCAAAAGCGGGAGGTCAAACATATGGCGTGTGATAATTTTAATAGATTTTCGTGTATACCTAGTATATACATATATGTTTCACTGCTGTTCGTATGAGTAATGTCTGTTTTCCCCGCTGTCGCGAGAGTCGCTCAGAGCGGAGTGTGGAGTGTGGAGTGTGGAGTGTGGAGGAGTGTGATGTGATTGTCTCGATGGATTTGTGGACTGTGGATTTCCACGAATCGGTTTTCCCTGTTGGCCCCCAACTATCGCCGTTGGCAAAAGTTCTCGCTCTCCCTCTCGCGCGGCGCGAGTCCAGGGCGCATTTAGTGGGCTCCCCACGCAAATGACCTCATAAGAATGCGTGGCGTGTCGCCGCGTCACTGCTGGTGGAGCCTTGCGGAATCTTTAATGAAATGGGGGCCTTTGGGCATTAGCCCCGTAGTTCGATTTGGACTTTGGAGGCAGCAGGCAGCCGGCAGCAGGCAGCAGGCAGCTCTCTAGGCAACGGTAACCTGTCTTTGGGCCTCTCTTTCACTGGGTCTCTCCCCGTCTCTCACCATCTCTTGTTGACACATTGACAGGGCCCCAACGAGAGCCACAAACATGAATTTCAATTATGAACCTGTTGTTGCTGTTGCTGTTGTTGTCGTTGTCGTCGTCGTTCTTTTGGACATTTCTCTATAGAGTTCTCTGCTCGGCCCTTCTCCTCCCTCCCCTCCCCTCCCCACCCCCCCTCTCTCTTTCTGAGGAGGAGAAATTATGTTCAGGTACTTATAATTTCAATTTCTTTTTTTTTTTTATACTTTATGTTTTTTATTCTTTTTTTTCTGTGTGTTTCCTTTGTGTCTGTGGCACACCAAAGTATTTTTATTTATTTATGATTCTTTTTTGAGCATTAAAATGCCGTTGTCAATAAACCCCCCGCTCCCCCCAGTCCCGATAAATGGGCATTACGTATAATGCCAGATAAAAATTTGCATAAATTTTTAGGGAACTTTGGTAGGAGCTGCCTTTCAAATGCTCGAATGCTCAAATGCTGTCCCTGATTTGGTTCTTTCTTCGAGTTATTTGTGATTTGTGTTTTGTTTTATGTTTTATGTTTTACGTTATTGTTTATTGATTTGACCCATTTGCGGCGCTGCGGTGTTGCAAGTGTTGATCGATGGGGCTTAGATGGGGCCCATAAACCATAAAACTGCAGCAACTGCGATTGCATGCCATTCCATATGCAGGCCAGGGAATGCGTTGTATATCGATGAGGGTTCCAGTGGGAGGGAACTGCGGTGTGAGAGCTCTGGAAAGCCATTGAGTATGAATTTAGACACTTTTTGAATCTGAAAACCATGAAAACCTTTCAAAGGTCTTCTATTCCCAAATGTATTCCTTTCAGGTGTGCCTAATGCCTTTTTTTCAATCCCTCATTGGCCATTGGCTTATTCCAGGCATCCCCATCCATTTCTAAATCCTTTTGCCAGGGCTTTTCATAGGAGAATTGTATGAGTATTCCATTCAAACCCATTTCCAATGATGGAGTACAGTGAAACCTGCCACGATTCCAGGGATTTCCCCCTATCTCTGACACCAGCTATGATTCATTCAAAGAAAGCTCTTACTCTTTTTACCTGTTTGATTTTTCTCCTATTTTCCCATGGTTTTACGCTGCCCTCCCCTCCCCTTTGTTCCACCCACCGATTGGCCATGGCTCGTGGATTTTCGAGTGCATTTTTGCGGCTATTTAGCAATTCGTTTTGGTGATTTTTCATAGGTATTTCTGACTTTTATGTGGACTGACACACAGCTCCTGCTGCTGCTGCTGCATCTGCAAGTGCAACAGCAGCTTCATTAGGTGCTGTTGAT